CAAACTGATCGTTTCGTGTCTTAGGACATCAGTGTGTCGTCACGAGCCGCAGGGTTTCATTTGGATTTGTCTGTGCATGTTTTTTTTTACTCTCATAGATTTTGTTACCATTGCCATGCATTATAAGACTGATTGACTGCAACGGCTGGAGTTAAAAATCATCAAATGTGTTCTACTGAAGAAACAAAGTCACCTACATCTTGGATGCCCTGGGGGTAAGCAGATAAACATCACATTTTCATTTTTGGGTGAACTATCCCTTTAAACTGACATTAAACTTTCTTTTTCTCCTTAGGCCTGAGGGTGCTGAAGGAGGAGAGTCAAGAACTAAATAAAAGGGAAATTAAGGATCAATATGAGAAACATCATTCATTAATAACGGGAGAAAACTCTTTAAGTTGCTCACAGAATGAAAAGACTTTGTCACGAAAAAGAGCTCAAACGACTAGTCAAACTAGTAGTCATTTCGATCAACATGGAAACCTAGATGTCGACATGAGAATTCACATGGGAGACAAACCATTCTCCTGCCAGCAGTGTGGGAAGAGTTACACCTCGAAAGGTAGTCTTAAAGATCACATGAATATTCACACTGGAGAGAACCCTTTCACCTGCCAACATTGTGGAAAAAGTTTCATTCGAAAAGGAAACCTGATTGTCCACATGAAAATTCACACTAGAGAGAGCCCATTCACCTGCCAGCAGTGTGGGAAAGGTTTCGTTCAGAAAGGCAGTCTTAAATCCCACATGAGAGTTCACACTGGAGAGAGTCCTTTTACCTGTCAACAATGTGGAAAAAGATTCACTCAAAAAGGAAATCTGAAAGTCCACATGAGAATTCACTCTAAAGAGACCCCATTCACCTGCCAACAGTGTGGGAAAAGTTTCACTCAAAAAGGAAGTCTTAAAGATCACATGAAAATTCACACTGGAGAGAACCCATTCACCTGCCAACATTGTGGAAAAAGTTTCATTCGAAAAGGAAACCTGAAAGTCCACTTGCGAGTGCACACTAGAGAAAGCCCATTCAGCTGCCAACAGTGTGGAAAAAGTTTTTCTCAGAAAGCAAGCCTTAAAATCCACATAAGAATTCACACTGGAGAGAAGCCTTTCACATGCCCTCAATGTGGAAGGAGTTTTACACATAAAGGAACCCTTAATAACCATGTGACAACTCACACAGGAGAGAAGCCATTTGTATGTAGTCAGTGTGGAAAGTGTTTCCGATTTACGGTAACCCTTAAAGACCACATGAGGATTCACTCGAGAGAGATCCGTTTTATATGCCATCAGTGTGGAAGGAGTTTCACAGACAGAAATGATCTTAAGAATCATGTAGGAACTCACATCGGAGAGAAGCCTTTCATGTGCCAATACTGTGGAAAGTCTTTCAAAAACAATGCAAATCTTGAGGTTCATGTAAGAATTCACACTGGAGAGAAGCCTTTCAGCTGCACTCAATGTGGAAAGAGTTTCACAGTTAAAGGAAACCTTGACATTCACATGAGGGTTCACACTGGAGAGAGGCCTTACAGGTGCCTTCGGTGTGAGAAGAGTTTCACATATCACACGGACCTGAAACGTCATTTGCAAACCCATTCTGGAAAGAAATTCCAGTGTTCTGAGTGTGACAAGGAGTTTCGAAAAATTAGCAATTTCAGAAAACACCTGCATATGCTTTCGGGAGGAAGACCATTTAATTGTGTTAAGAGTAAAAGAAAAATCCCCAAACTCTCATCACACTTAGAGTTACATATGAAAAGGCATGCATATGTGAGACTGTATTCTTGTTCTTTTTGTGGAAAGAGTTTTAAATGGCTCGGCCATTTAAAATGCCACCAGAAGATGCGTATCTGTGTGAAATCAAAGCTGCGTTTACGTCGCAGATGACTGTGGCCCAAACTTGGTTTTCTGCTCAAATAGTTTTTTTTTAGGTTGTTCACACGACATTAAAATCATGTAATTTTGTTTGTATTGAGTTTTTTTTTCTTCAGTATAATACTTAAAAATCAGTGTGTTGTATTCATGTGTCTACATTGCAGAGGTGGGGGCAAGTCACACATGTTCAAGTCTCAAGCAAGTCTCAAGTCACAGTACAAACAAATCAAGCAAGTCAAGTCAGTGGCTCACCTCAAGCAAGTCAAGTCAGTGGCTCACCTCAAGCAAGTCAAGTCGAGTCCTGCTAAGGATCAAGTCAAGTCACAGTATCAAACAGGAACAAATATTTTTTTGCCACACGACCTTATTAATTTTTCCTCAGAAATTAACTTTCTTAATTATACATTTTAAATAATAATGTTTTAAATATAACATTTTGAATATAGGCAAAATACTACTTTGTATACCGCTAAAGTCTGTAATTGAGAAAATATTGATAAAAATACAAGATAAAAATATGTATCTCATATTTATGTTATATTGAGTTTGACCATCCTAGGAGACAGATAATATTTAACAGATGTTGGAAAATTATGTTGCACTAAATATATCCAGCGAAGACGGATTCAGTCTGGGAGCACGCTAAATAATATGCAATGCTGACTACAAATCACCCCTTCCCACCTCTGCTACATTGCATTCAGAACATATTCATTAACCATCAAAACCCATTGATAAGTGTTCAGATTTTTTAGATTTGTTGAAGCACCTTTCTGCAGTGATTACAGCCTCAAGTCTTTTTTTTTTGGAGTATGATGCAATACGTTTTACACTCCTGGATTTACAGATTATATGTCTTTTTTTTTCTTCATATAGCTCTCTCAAGCTGTCAGATTGGATGGGGACTGACGGTGGACAGCCATTTTCAAGTTTCTCCACAGATTCGATTGGATTTCAATCTGGGCTCTGGCTCTGTCACTCAAGGACATTCCCAGAGTCATCCCTAAGCCACTCTTGCATTGTCTTGGCTGTATTTAGGGTCATTGAAGGTGAACCTGCTGCCTAGTCTGAGTGCTCTGGGACAGGCCACATCTGGAAAAAGACTGTGGAAGAGCACATTTTCAGTATCTATCTGGAGGTTGGCTGCAAACTTGGAACTTGGTCCATTTCACATTTATTTGGGATTGGTTCATCCACTGCCTGCATGATAACAAAACATGTCAGTCATTGTTGTGCATTTGCATCAAATTTACATTAAAACACTTTCTGTAGATAAATTCAAAGTTGTTGTTCAAGGTTTTTGTAGCCATTGGATTTTCCACAATGTGGTGGGGCTATCAACCCACATTGGTATTTTATGTCCACCTGATAGCTCTGCAGGCTATTATATTTGTAAATGTTTTTACTCAGGCATCCTACAAAGTGTGTTAGACCATTGACTGAGGTTCTGGGAGATTAACGTAGCCTGGTCAGGAAAACATTTATCTCATGAGGTCCTCTAAGATTATAATGGGAGTTTTACTGAACTCAGTCACAGTTCACTCATGCTGAACTGATGTGATTGACAGCTACAGCGATTATGAATGGAGTGTTCTTTGTTCACCTTCTCCATATAATTTACTGTGAGAACTACATGGGGAAAAAGATATATGTCCACAAATTAATAATAATAATAATTTGTTACATTTATATAGCTCTTTTTTGGGTACTCAAAGCGCTTTACATTGTGAGGGGGAATCTCCTCAACCACCACCAGTGTCCAGCATCCACCTGGATGATGCGACGGCAGCCATAGTGCGCCAGAACGCCCACCACACTGCAGCTTATTGGTGGAGAGGAGACAGAGTGATGAAGCCAATCAGTGTATGGGGATTGTTAGGAGGCCATGATGATCAGAGGCCAATGGGCAAATTTGGCCAGGATGCCGGGGTTATATCCCTACTCTTTTTCGAAGGACATCCTGGGATTTTTAATTTATACTGGGGCGTTAGGACCCACACAGACCACAGGGTGAGCACCCCCTGCTGGCCTCACTAACACCTCTTCCAGCAGCAACCTAGTTTTCCCAGGAGTCTCCCATCCAGCTACTGACCAGCTCAACCCTGCTCAGCTTCAGTGGGCAACCAGTCTTGGGCTGCAGGGTGACATGGCTGCTGGCAAAGTTACATCTCTTTATTAATTACTTCCTTTATTTTAGTAACATGTGAGACATGGTATAAACAAGAAACAAATAAATAAACCTGGCCATGATTTAGCTGAATCATTGAAACTGAAAAGAAGGGAGGGATGGATTAATAAAACATCCTCACATTTAAAATCACAAGTTCTGTCACTGTAGTCAAAGTGCACACACGCTGTAAATAAGAGCAGTGCCGGCCCGCAGGGTTGTGGGGCCCAGTTGTATAAAAACTGTCATAGCAATTTGACGAGTGAAGAGAACGCACATAAAATGACAATTTCGATATTTAATCATAAATGTCTGTAAAGTGCAACACATCCAAAATACATATTTAAAAATAATTTAACAGATTAAAAAATAGGAGTGCAAGTGAGTTAGAAAAATTAGTGTAAATGCATGAAACATAAATAAATAAAATAACATATAAATGAATTATATACAAAGAATAAACAGAGCAAAAACAAACATACAAATATGCATAAATGACTAGAAATGCATACTCTTCTGTTTGTTTTTCAGGTCTGACTGGTTATCACAAAAAATGTATTGTTTTAGACATTGGATGGTGGGTTAAACCTAAATTTGGAAAGAGGGGGAGACCTGTTTTTTTGGCAGGGAAGATGAGGGCCAGTTATTCAGGCCCAGTGCTAGGCATCCCCAGTTGAAGCTGTAATAATAGCATATTTGCTTAACAGATTTGGCAAACACTCCATTGCGTATATGTGTTTGCGCTCTGTGGAGCACCAAAGGTTTCCTTTTTCAAAATGTTTTAGCAGTGTTGAGCAAAGTAGCCAATCACAGACAATATCAGTTGATTTCTTGAACACAGTGGCCAATCAAAAGCGTTATAATCCATGCTCTCTATCATTCTTTCATTTCAAATTAATTAAAAATAGCATCGATGTGTAACGAGACTTCATGATATTATGAGAGACTATTCTAAGAGGCAATATCCAGTGAATTCAAAAAAGTTGAACCTTAACGAGATACACTTTTTCTTTATTTGCCAAAAATTATAAAGAGCAAGTTTGTTGTGCCTGTCAGATCACAAAAGGAAGTTATTTCAAACACTCGAGTGATGTTGTGAAATGTACTGTGTACAAGGTAGGCTATATTTTTTATATTTATATTTTGAATGAATTATATTTAGCCTACAAAGTGCGCAAATAGCCCTTACTTTATAATCACTAAAAAGGCGTCACTTACCATCAGTTCATTGTGATCTCACAAAGTTCTTTTATAATCAATGAACCTCTTATTTACATTGTGTTACAGTGAGAGGATTCACAAGCGTGCAGAACAAAATCCAGCATTTAGAGTTGAGTGAATTCTGACTAACTTGAACGCAATGGCCAATCACAGGAGTTCAAGAAATCAACAGATTTGTCTGACAGGCTGTATTGCTCAACGCTAAAAAAACACACACTGTAAATATAATCTTTTGACACTTTCCAGAGTGCAAACAAGTACGCACTGGAGCCTTTACCAAATCTGTTTCTCCATATATTCTATTATTATAGTTTTAACTAAAGGTGCTTTTGACTGCGTGAGAAAATGGTGTGGTATGAGAAAAGTGTCAATTGCATCAAGAGTCTTATGCTTAATGTGTGAGTTGGCAGTCCTGCAAATCATAATGACAAAAAAAAAACATGGGTTTGCTTTCATCACATGTAGGCCCGGACTGGCCATCGGGAGCACCTTTAAAACTTTTTTTTTAGTTATTATTATTATTAATATTTTATATTTATGCCTTCTCAATGTACCAAAGTGATCATTTCCGATTTTTTCATTCAATAATAAATCGATAATAAATCATACATCGGTTAGGCTTGACTGTCGGTGCTGCGCTATATCAGCTCACGTGTGTTCCGCGTTTCCGTCAAACGGTTCCGAACAGAACTCGATGAAACAGAGGAAGTGGACAGAAGAAGCAGTGAAATGTAGCAACATCACTGACCTGTTCAGGGCTTCACGTGCAGATCAGTTTCATCTGTAAATACGCTAGATAGTTTTGACTTTAATTAACCTAGTTAAGTATTAAACTGCTAGTATCTGTTTGGCTATCAGCAGCACCCCATTTTTATCATCATGCAGAATACTGTGCTAAAAGACATCACTATCGACTGTAAAGGCTTGTGCACACCGGGACGATTATCGCTGACGTTTTACGCCTCGTGACTAAACAAAGAGTGCCAATGTGAGTGTGCACACCGGCGCGTAAAACGCGAGGCGTAAAAGAGTCATTTTGAAAAAAAAAGCCCCCTATACCCTTAAATAGGGCACTATTTGAGGGAACAGCCATTTTTAGTGGTGTTCGAAACCATAGTGGATGTTCTCGAGTGCACTCATTCAATCCCACAATGCACTGCAAAAACGAGTGTACAACTGGTGCACGCTCAACGGCTAGAGAATGCCCATAATGCACCGTGAGAGTCACGCGCCGAATGAACTCCCGCATCTCGCCAGAAGATGGGTCACATTAGTAGGATTCAAAATATAAAAACTTAAATCAACCCAAAATTTATTGGTTATATTACAATTACAATATAAATGGGCTGCTGTTTCTTCAACAAGACCACAGAAGTTTCATCAAAGGGGCAGTTGTGGCCTAATGGTTAGAGAGTTAGTCTTGCAACCCAAAGGTTGCGAGTTTGAGTCATGGTACCGGCAGGGATTGTAGGTGGGGTAGGTAGTTAATGACCAGCGCTCTCTTCCTCCCTCAATACTACGACTGAGGTGAGACCCTTGAGCAAGAGCTGAACCCACAGCTGCTCCCCGGCACCGCAGCGATTTGGCTGCCCACTGGTGTGTGTGACCAAATGTCCCCACAAGGATAGAAAAACATGATATTTTTGACATTGTGGGGTCCAGCCTGCGGTCCCC